TTCTATGGATGTGAAAATACAAGCAAGTAAAGATAAACCATGAACAGTCAAGACGGTTATCTGGTAGTAACTTATGGTGAAAAAGAATATGAAAATGAATGTATGTGTGTTCACGTATGACAGAAGCACTGTGCTGTGCACCAGAAACTGACACAACATTGTAAACTGACTATACACCTCAGTAAAAATACATAAAAAAAATTTTTAAATGTTTTAAGTACACAAAAATATTGAGAATAATATCTATCCATACTGCAGTGCTATAACCTGTGAAATCAGCAGCAGAAATGGCATATAGAAGACTGGACCCAGGCTTTAAAAAGCTTATACAGACAATTCCCAAAGTTATCCACAGCCACTCACAACTACCAGAGATGATAATTTAATGATCAACTGCATCTATTCATTACATTCTTTAAAATGTGGTAGCAAAATAGGTCTGAACATTGTTTTCTTTTTCTGTATTATGCGAGGTGCGATCTGATAAGCTGCCAGTTTCTTGGGTGCTTGTCACAGGTGGGAGTGGACCTGCTCTGGGAGTCAGAGAAAGAAGACAAGAGAGATTGGAACACAAGCTGTACTAAGTTCTCTAGTCATGTTTCATGAGGAGTCCTTTAAATAGCGGCCTCTGACAGACGCAGCATGACTCACTTTTCTTCCTCTGCTGAGGCTACACACCCTGGACAGAGCAGGAAAGGAGGGGTCGTGCACACCCCCATTGTACCGCAGAGTTCATGGCATTTGTTACGGGCACATTCACACCCCTCCACCTATCCTGGTAATCAGACCATATCACATAAAATAACACTGTTAGAATTCTCTGTAATAGTTAATGTTTAAAAAAATAAAAAAGGTTCGTTTCAAGGTTTTACAAACATTCCACTTATTAATTACTCTTTCTCTGGTCAGACTAAAATCTTCACAAAGGCACACCCAATATTGGCCTTAGTGGAGGTAAATTTCACTACAAAATTTCAGGTAGATTTCGTTACAAAACTGGAGGTAGATTTCTTTACAGAAATGAAAATATATATTTATATATATTGATAATATACAATATTGTACTTTTTACAATATTGTAAATTAAATTATAGTAATTAAAAATATATTTTGTAATACTTATTAATAAATAAGTATTTATTAAAAATACACTTCCAGAAAGTCTAACACATATACCATATATGCACAAACTTGGTAAGCATAAAGCAGACACAGAGATGTACAGATTATCTCACAGTTTGAGTTATCCATACTTTCATTTGCGCCTCCTCTACCTTTAATGACTCTATGAGTTGGTTACTTAAACTGTTTTCCTTAAAAAATTAATCAAAATATTTGCTTTAAATGCGTGTATTTTAAGACTGAAATCATTCTGCTGTAGCGACAATAAAGAATATTTAAAATTTAAACTGTTTCTTTTTCCTTCACCTCCAAGCTAAGACGAAGTCATGCACTTCTATTTCTCTCAATAAGTACAGCTAAAAGGCCTGGACGCTATTTAAAAACAAATGTAGTAAGACTGCAGAAGGTGATGAGTAAACAGACCACCTGGGGACTCGAGGACACAGTGGTAAATTCTGAGTGTTCTTTCAGCCTCATACATCCCAGTGTGGGTACTGTTCTGGCCAGCAACCAGGAAGTGCCAAAGGGCACAAATGAAAACAGCCACTGGAAAAGCTATCCCTCGCCAGCCGAAGGACCACAAAAGGGGCAACCCAGAGAACGGGTAACTTTTACATCTTAGATGCCCTAGGAGAGCCAGAGCCCACGGGAAAAAATGTGATCCCACCTCCACTCTATGAGCAACAGCCAAGCACTGAGCCCAGGCTTCCACCCCCGCCCAGCACTGACAGATAAACTAAACGGCGTGCCAGCCTGTGAGTTCAGTTTGACTATGAGACCTCCGAGTACACTTTTCTATCACTTACTTAGCTAAGGTAATAAAATACGCCTTAGGTTAGTTTACTCTTTTTTTCACAGAGTATAGAAAGCAGAGAGGTCCTTCTTGGTACTGAAGTAAAATCACCTAAAAACTATTTCCCTGGAAAGTACTGCTTCTTAGTAAGAGGAAGATACTTTTAAACTGAATATTAGTTTCAAAGACTCAAGTTGCTACTCTTAGATTATCACTATGAATAGTAAAAGCAGTGAGACCACAACGACAATGCCACCAGGCATTTATATTGGGTTTCACTGTAGGAAGCTCAGAGTGTCGTATGTCAGGTGATAGACGGTCTCTCAGGTATGTTAATGTTCCCGTTAATGGACTGAGAAACTGAATTTGCAAAGGTATCTGTCTCACTAACTGGCCCAGAATAAGTCACTCAATATAGAGAGAAGAAAACACGAAGTTCCAGTATTCAGCACTGCACCTTCTAATAAGCACCATGATTCCAAGCGGAGACTATAAACGTGGCTGTACATGGTGTGATTAGCCCTTGGGCAGCAGGGTACGCTATATCAGTGAATTCATCCATTCAGCTCAAGAGTATTAAGTGAGCCCACGTTACATGGCGAGTACTGCTCTAGGTACTGGGAAGGAAAGTTCCAAACCACATGGAGCTCACACTGGTGGGAGCAAAACAAAACATAAATCAAACAAAATAAAAGGTGCTATGAGGAGAGAGGAAAAAGGCAAAGAAAGGGGTCTTGGGAATGCTAAGCATAGACACAGGTTCTTACCTTCTGCAGCACAGTCAAAGAAAGTGTCCACAGGAAGCCAGCATTTGAGTAAGTTTCTAACGGAAGTGAGGGTTCAGTGAGAGTTGTTAAAAAAGTGCAATTTTTAAAAAGTTAAAATGGAACCCGTATAAATATAAATAAACCCATGCCAAAAATCTATGCTACTCTTTATTAACAAATGAATCATTTATGTTAACACTGAATGAATCAGATGTTAAGACTGGTTCAAAGAGCATCTGAATAGGTATATGTGTAGAAAATTTAAATAGCAGTGTGCTCCAGACATAGGAAACAGACTTATAGTTACGGGGGTGGGGAGGGGTGGGGAGGGATAAATTGGGAGTTCGGGATTTGCAGATACTAACTACTGTATATAGAATAGATAAACAACAAAGTCATGCTAAATAGCACAAGGAACTATATTCAATATCTTGTAATAACCCATCTTGAAAAAGAATATATATACATACATGTATAACTGAATTACTATGCTATACACCAGAAACTAACACAATATTCTAAACTGACTATACTTCAATTAAAAAATAAAAAGTAAATAAAATTTTTTAAAAATTTAATAATGGAGTGTAAGACTAAGAAAGAATTCTAGGTTAGAGACAAAATTGATGAATGTCCTATAGGGCAATAAACAGTATTCTCTGAAGTTCTAACAGACAGAAATCATTTGCATCTCTTCAAGTAAAAAAAAAAAACTTATTAATTAACATGTAATGTCAATACAACTGAGACTTCTAATCAGTCATAAATGGTAAGTCAAAGTACTCCATTCTCCTAAATAATCCTTGAGTAGGTCTAGTAAATAATGTCTCCACTGGACACTGGAAGAACACACTGCTCATCCTTTTCCTTATTTTCAAGTTTTGCATTTTTTTAAACAAAGCCATGTAGAATATCTGTGAGAAGAGCATTCCAGCTAGAGAAACTGAACGAATCACAAACCCCTCCACTCACCACTCCCACAGTCAAGGAACATCCTCCCCAACACAGACTCACACATTCCCCTGGACTTAATTATTAAGTGCAGTGTGAGTAAATAGCTCTGGGTGAACTGGAAAAGTTGGAGAAGACCGAAGATTTACACTGGAAGGAGAATGATAATTGAGGTTGGAAAGTGATTTGATTTACATGTTTAAAAACACTACTCCATCTGCTGAAATAAAGAGTCGTTAAGGGAAAAGAGCAAGGGCGGAAGCTAGAAAGACCACTTAGGAGACTGTTAAAATGATCTAGGTAAGTAAACAAGGAAACACACAGGTCGTCAGATGTAAAAGTGCTACAGAGAGAAATGAAGCAGAGCCCGGGAAGGCGGGTAGGGAATGTCAGCACTGTCTGGAAAGGTCTCACTTGCACAGAGACCTGGATGATACAAAAAAACTAAACCATGCAGAAAATTGAGGGAAGAGTGTTCCAGAAACAGGGGTAAACCAGAATGACTGAGGAGAAGGAGCTGGAGAAAAGACAGGGAGAAGGGATACAGGAAAATACAGGGCCTTGCAAACCATTTTAAGGACTTACTTGACTTTTAGTTTGGGTGAGATGAGAAGCCACTGAAGGTTTCAGAGCAGAGAAATGACATGAGCAGCTTTAAATGTTAAACAGATCACAGGGGCTGCCATGTGGAGAATGGTCTGTAAGTGGGCAATGACAGAAGTAAAAAGATTAGTTAGAATAGAAGATTCTTCAGTATTCCAAGTGAGAGAGAATGGCCTAGGGCAGGTGGATAGCACTGACCAGAATGATAAACAGTCGAAACTTGAATATTTTGAAGGTACAGCCAACAGGTTTTGCTAAAGGAACAAACATGGGGTGAGTACGAAAAAGAATAAATGTGGATTTTAGCTTTAGCAGTTGGAGAGAGAGAAATGCCACTTACTGGGATGATGAAAGGCTGAAGAAGAAACAAGTTTATTAAAGAAATGTGAGGAGAAGAAGAGGAAATGTTGATTACAAACAATTTATGAAAAAGATTAAATATCTCAGTTTGGGGTTTGTATGATTCTAAATTCTTTTCAAATATAATCACAGTAAGAATTAGAATGCCCAATCTCCAGATTTTATCCATCAGAATCAGAATAATTTTCACCAGGATTGAGTCTCAAACAACTAACCTTCATAGTTTCTCACAGATTCATACTTTTCAAAATGGCATTTATCATTGTCATCTATGTGAGCCAATATTTTACATATTTAAACAAGTATCTGATCCTTCATTAAGTATTTACTGAGTACTTTTTGAAACTATAATACATACTCCATCAAAAGGCCTACATATTAAATTTTTAATCCACTGTGTTTACCTGAAGTTCTTTGTATCTATCTTGAAAAGAAATGGCCTCTTGCTCTTTTTCTTTAAGGAAATCTTTTTCTAAGACACTATGTTTTTCCATCAATGATTCCACATCCTGAAAGAAAAACCCAAGCATAAATTTTGTAATATTTAAAGGCATAAAATATACTCACTTTTTTTCAATGAACGCACTAGAAAATATTTGGTAAGGAAAGAATCTACAGGAAGCATGGGGTTTTTTTAATATTTTATTTATTTATTATTATATTATTAAACTTTTTTGGTGGGGGAGGGGAGGTAATTAGGTTCATTCATTTCTAGAGGAGCTGCTGGGGATTGAACCCAGGACCTCATGCATGCTAGGCAAGCGCTCTACCACTGGAGCTATACCCTCCCCCTGTAGGAAGCATGGTTTTTAATGTTCAACAATATTATAGAATGTAAGCTTCACTCCCATTCCCAGACCAATATCAAAGATTGAGGAAACACAGAAATTATTCATGCTAATAAATAAATAAAAGCATCTAAACTAATTGTAAACAACACTCACTTCTACATATACTTTCTATAAATCTGCTAAGGTCTTTCTATAAATACATTTGAAGGGAAGAGAAATGAGAATACACATAAATTATTCACTACAACAGCTGAACATCTAAGTACTCTGGCCAAATATCCCGCGATGCCCGACTTCCCACAGGGACAAATGAATGCCACAAACCTTCTAATCTACATAAGAAATACAATACTACCTGCTTTCGAAGTAAGTAAAAATAAACGAGAAGGAAAGTATTCATTAGAGAAAAAAAATCCAAAGTATATGTTTAAGACTAGAAATTTCTATTTGACACAACATTGTAAAATGATTATAACTCAATAAAAAAAAAGACTAGAAATTTCTTATCAAAGACCATATTCTAAGAGGTAAACTCATATGACTGATTTAAACCTACAGCCCAGGACTATTTAGTACTTTTCCACTGATGAGTTTTTAATCAGAGGTTGGGATTATATCATATTTCCAGTATATGCAAGTCAAACATTTCTTTTTTAAGCAAATGTAAGTATACCTTTTTAATTCTCTGTTTTTCTTCTTCAGAAACTTTGAGTTTCATCTCCAGACTTGCAATTTTCTGCTGAAGCTGTATGTTTGATACGTTTGCTCCAGGATCCTCAGAATCACCCACAGGAGCAATTGTTCCATTACTTTTCTCATCAGTTAAACCCAATGGAAAAAGTGAGATATCCAGATGAGTGTGTGTTGATTGCTGAATCTAAACCACATTAAAAACAAAAAATACACAAGAGGGGAAAGTTTACACTGTACCCAGAAAGAAAACATCCGAAGGGCACCAGAAACCACATTTGGAAATTAAGTTGTAGCAAAGGTTCCGAAATTATTTCACCCTTTAAGTAAATCAACAGAAGACCTCAAACTGTTATAACAACCTGATCTTCGTAATAGGAAACAAAATTTTCTCTAAATTTTAGAGTTTAAAGCATTTACTATTTTGTAAGCAAAGCACTAAAAACCTTAAAACTTCTTTTATGCTTGAGAGTGTATAATTAAGTGTAAACACATCTCATACCCACCAGTTCTTGAATGTGCTCATACATTCAGAATTTGTTTATATTTTAAATTGTAAATCAGAATTTGAAGTTTACCAATAACCTCTAATTGATCATCACTTTCTAGTAAAGATAACAGGTGACTTGAGATTGTATAGAGGACTTTGGAAATCTGGACTAACTCCAGCGTCTGGCACGAAGCCCGGACTAATAAACATTTGAATGAATAAACCCTATGGTATGTTTTTGTTTCTACTCTAAAAGTGAAATGAACACTCTAATACCTGAAAACATACAGTAAGTTTCCCTGAAAAGAGAAATCGTTTCTTGTAATCATTTTCCCTTTTGAAGTTCATGATGTGTAATGCAAAACTAAGTCAATTTTAATGAACAAGATGTCCAAACAGTATTTTGGTAACTTAAGTCTCCTTAAAAACCTTGCAACTGTGCCACAAAGCAAACATACTATTCAGGTTTTTAAATTCTAGATATTAACCTCAAAGTTAGAGTATCTATCTACAGTAAAAAAGGAAGGAGGGAAGGAAGGAAGGAAGGAAGGAAGGAAGGAAGGAAGGAAGGAAGGAAGAGAGAGAGAGAGAGAGAAGAGAGAGAGAGAGAGA